TGAAGAGAGAGGGAACGAGAGATTCAGTGGGTCGTTTGGAGAATTTAGCCCTAAATGTTTAGATCTCTCTGAATGTGAGTTGGATAACCTAGTTGTGCTTGCACAAAATAGTGAGAAGAAACGGAGTGGGGCTACGGCGTCATCCGTCTAAGACCTTTCTGACCGGCTTGCGGCTATCAAGGCCAGATCGGCGATGGACGAAAACCGTCCTACTGTTGGATCTACGATGCCAGTGTTGTTAACCCCGATGTCCACTAACTGGTCCGATAGGGTTGAAGGAGAAAGGCGATCAAAGCTGTTGGACCTGCCTGATAGTGTGGAGATTACTAAAAATCGGGGTATCGCTCATGGAGTAACTGTGGATGAGGTGGATCACTCTTCGCCGCCGATTGCAAAGGAAAAAGGGGATCTGGTCATGGAGGACCAAGATCTGGGTGTTGATGAATCTGATACACACATGGCAGCCCTAGAGGTAGTCGTAATGACCGTGGTTCTGAGGATTCGGGGCTCAATCCTGTCGGATCTGAGGGTAACACTCGTGGTGGTTTTCAACACCATGGTCGAGGAGCAAATACCAACACTAGGGTGGTCGTGGAGGCCGAGGGCAGAACAGACCCCCTGAGGGTAGATCGTGGGCTAACATGGCCTCGTCTTCAGCCCGATCAGAGGTAAAACTCAACTATTACCCCCCCAAAATGGATCAAGATAAAATTGTGGTTGAGATGCCTCCCCCCTCCCCCACGGTGAAATGGGATGCTTGCCTGGTAGGGTACTTTATTGACAAAAATTTGCCTTACACCCTTATCAAAAATAATGCTAATAATATGTGGAAGCATAAGGGTTTGGTAGAAATTCTGAAGAATGATGACGGTTTTTTCTTCTTTATGTTTGAAAATCGTGATTGTTGTATAGATGTGCTGGAGGGGGGACCTTGGTATGTAAGTGGCTTTCTGCTGATATTGAAACAGTGGCATCGCATGATGAAACTGTCTAAGGAAGACAAGAAGACCATCCCTAGCTGGGTAAAATTTTTTAACATTCCTCTGGAATATTGGGATGGGGAAGGGTTAGGGAGAGTAGCCAGTGCTGTGGGTGTCCCTTTGTTTATGGATCAACTTACCTCTTCTGGAAGTAGGATCTCTTTTGCTAGACTGTGTGTGGATATATCAGCTGAATCGGCCTTCCCTGACAGCTTTCTTCTCACTGATGGTGATGCTTCTATGAACATTCATGTGGAGTACCAAGGGGTTCCCTCGAGATGTACACACTGCCATGTTTTTGGGCATGAGACTAAGACCTGTCTTTCTGCTCAAGTAACTCACCTCATTGAATTACAGAAGAATTCAGAGGAACAGATTGAAGATGATGAGGGATGGACCACTGTCAAGGATAAGGGCAAGAAAATAGTGGGGGATCCATCCTCCCCTGTTCACAGCGTCCCTCCTGAAGTCAACAGTTCATCTGCGACTAAAAGGGGTGAACCTGAGATCCAATCTGAGGGGGCTAACCTTCCAGTGGCTGACATTTCTGTTGAGGTTGATACGGAGCTTATTGATCTTCCCCTTCCTGATGTTGTAGAAAATGTTAGCCCTGCCGTTGAGGATATTGGCCATAATGTGGGAAAAGAGGAAATGAAAGCTAATTCTCCAGAAATTCTGGGAGGTAAGGGGACTGATGGTCTCAAAGTGGGCAGCTCAACAAAGAAGAAGTCTTCTGGCAAATCAGGCAGCCAGAAGAAGAAAAGGAGGTAAATATCTTTTTGTTGTTTTTGTGGTGATCTGGTTGCATTTATTAAGTTTATCATGTCTTTTAAAATATCATCACCTTAAATGAGGTGCCTAAGTTAAACCAATACCGTTAAGCTACAATTAGTCAGTAGATTCTCTTTGTTGGAGGCCAAGCAAGATTAGTTTGAGTTGAACATGGCAACTTAAGCCAATGAACCTATTCACCCAAAAAAATAAAAAAGCCAATGAAACTATTAGTTGCCTAGGGTAATTGTTTCCTAGAACAAAGCAGAGAAGGTTGGAGAAGGATGAAGAGAGTTAGAGGGAAACTTTCTTCTTGAGAATTAGAAGGGAAAGTTAGAGAAAATAAATGGAAATAGTTAGAAAATTAAAGGGAATTCAAATTTACACTTTTGGACATGAGAATTGAACCCGTTGTTGATGGAGAAAACATTAAATGAGTTTCTTAACTCAAAGTGATTTCGTTAGGTAAATTCTCTTTGTTGGAGGCTTACCAAGATTAGTTTGAGTTAAACTTGGCCACTTAATACCATGCACATATTCACTTTAGTGTATCTATCGCAACTCTGTTCACATAGTGCATCTATCACACTTTGTGTTCGCTTTTAGTATTTCCATCATACTTGTTCACTAAGTGCATTTATTACACTTCCTTCATTCATTTAGTATATCAATCATACTCTGTTCACATAGTATATCTATCACACTTTGTGTTCACCTTTAGTGTATCCATCACACTCGTTCGCATAGTGCATCTATCACACTTTGTTTTGTGTATCCATCACACTTGTTCACTAAGTGCATCTATCACACTTCGTGTTCACCTTTTGTGTATCCATCACACTTGTTCACTAAGTGCATCTATCACACTTTGTGTTCACCTTTTGTGTATCCATCACACTTGTTCACTAAGTGCATCTATCACACTTGGTGTTAACCTTTTGTGTATCCATCACACTTTGTTCACTAAGCGCATCTATCACACTTATCCATCACACTTTGTTCACTAAGTGCATCTATCACACTCTGCGTATATCCATCATGCTTTGCTTCACATAGTGCATCTATCACACTTTGTATTCACTTTGTGTATCTATCACACTTTGCTTCACCTTAGTGTATCAATCACACTATATTCATATAGTGTATCCAGCACACTCTCTTCACTTTTGTGTATCTATCCCACATGCTCGCTAAGATTGCATCATAACTGCATGAAATGTAGTTTGATTTGCCTTCCCGCTTAAAACTGTCGCATTTATTGTGAATATTTGCTTCGCTATAGCTTTATTTACATTATCCTTACTGGATGAAATGTAGTTAGATTTGTATATGCTTACTGCTTTGCATAATCGTGAGTTACGTCCAGCTTTGTGCATATCATTTTGCATCTTGCCCCCTGCCTGTAGGCATGCCTGCGGGCACATCTTTGTTATCTTGCCTGTTTGTCTAAGTCTTCGGCCTTGTCAAAAATGGGTCGTCTCTGGGCTTTGACATTCACTCCCGTTACTTCTTGACTTTCGAGTTCTGTCAAAGAAGGGCAACTGTAGACACCCCATTTTCGACCGACTTAAGACTCAGACGTCACCGATTGAGCGCTTGGTGATGTTGCATATTGTGCTCGTTCTGAAGTTTCAGAGTCTCGGTTGCGAGCCTTGCCTCCGGACTTCCGGACTCTTTCGTGCCTTGCCTCGGTTTGCGAACCAGGCTCTATTTTCTCTTCCCGAAGGGAGAGAGAGGTCTCGTGGATCATCTCTCAGTGGCCGTAGGCTACGTTTCGTGGTCGTAGGCCATTTTCGGAGCCGACGGCCGTGTGCCTCTGTTCGGGACAGCCTAACCACCTCCGTTTGCTCCGGTTTTTGGCACACATCTTATTTACTCCCTTTTGGGAGACACTGTGGCCCGAGAGACCAACTTCATGGTCGAATGCCACCTCTGGTGCTTAACAGCCCATTTTTGGGGCCCCGGGCCGCGCGTTTCGGTCCCCGAACCTCCATTTTGCATCTGTTTTGGTTCTTTTTTGGTGGAGACCTCATTTTCATTGTTAGGAAGCTTGTAGGAGGGTGGGAGGCAAGCAATTGTTCTGAAAAGCCAGCTTTATTTCTTCATCGCTCTCCGTCGCTCGTTTCCTCAGTAAAA